CGCCTTCAGATCCCATGCGATGGATCCGGCACAGCGGAACTACGAGATCTACGATAAGGAGATGCTCGCGATCATTGAGGCACTAGATGATTGGCGCCATTATCTCGAGGGTCTGCCCAATCAGTTCGAGATCGTCACTGATCACAAGAACCTCGAATACTGGCGCACGTCCCAGCACCTCACGCGTCGTCAAGCGCGATGGTCGCTGTTCCTAGCTCGCTTCGACTTCCGCATCACGCATAAAGCCGGGACGTCCAATGGAAAGGCTGATGCCCTGTCACGTCGATCAGACCATCAGATCGGCGATGAGGACGATAACACCGATCAGGTGGTTCTCAAGCCAGAGCGCTTCCGCATCGCCTCCGCCAGGCGCGGCCATGCCTCGGTAACGGCCGATCAGTCGCTTCTGAAGCGTATCAGAGAGTGCTCGGAGAAGGATCGGGAGGTGGCCGAGGCACTGGAAAAGGTACAGGACCTCGGGCCGCCCCGGCTGCAAAGGGGTTTTGAGGAGTGGAATGCCGAACAAGGGCTTCTGCTGTTCCGCGGGTGCGTGTACGTCCCAAAGAACGCGGAGCTCCGGCGGGATATAGTCAAGATCCACCATGACTTGCCGATCGCCGGTCATGGCGGTCGTGCCAAAACCCTGGAGCTCGTATCGCGGAACTACTGGTGGCCAGGAATGTCTAAATTCGTCAATGAGTACGTAAGCACCTGTGACGTGTGCAACCGTACCAAGACATTCCCAGCCAAGCCCCAGGGTCCGCTGAAGCCGAATGAGATCCCCGAGCGCCCATGGCAGATCATCACGACCGATATGATCGTCGGCTTGCCGAAATCTGATGGGTTCGACTCAATCCTAGTCACCGCCGGCCGCTTCACAAAGCAGGTCCACTTCTCAGCCTGTCATGAGACCCTGACGGCGGAAGGTGCGGCAGACCTGTACATCCGCGATGTGTTCAAGCATCATGGGGCCCCGGCTAAGGTCATATCAGACCGAGGTCCCCAGTTTGCTTCGAAGTATCTCCATGCGGTGTACAAGGGACTGGGAATTGAGCCGGCGCTGTCTACGGCGTTCCATCCTCAGACAGATGGCCAGACAGAGCGCTGGAATCAGGAGATCGAGCAGTACCTGCGTGCTTTCACAAGCCACAGGCAGGATGATTGGGCAAAGCAGTTGCCACTCGCGGAATTTGCACTGAACAACCGAGTTCACTCCGCGACCGGGCACTCCCCTTTCTTCCTGCATCAGGGGTACCATCCTGAGATCCAGGTGCGGATCAATCCGATGTCTGCGATGCCCACGGCCGCTGATCGACTCAAGATCCTGAAGGAGATTCGCGATGACACGCGCTCTGCGCTCGAGCTGTCAGCCGAGCGTATGAAGGTGTACTACGACAAGCACGTGCAAGAGGCACCGGTCTTCGCACCGGGGGACAAGGTCTGGC